CCCTCACTCCCAGAAGATTGGCAGCCAGGGCTCACAGCAGTCAGGGCTCACCCAGCCTGGCCCCACAGACCATCTGCTGCAGAGTTCCAGGGAAGGGTACCGTGGAGTGAAGCGGGCCAGTAACCCGGTTCATTCATGGGACTGTTATGTGAGCTCTCAGGCAGGTCACTTCCCCTGTCTCGTCCTCCCTCAATCTCCTGGTCTCTGAAACCAGATTTGTTGGTACTCAGAGTTCTTGCCCTGGGTCACTGTTTGTTGAACCCATGATCTGACATGTGATCCCCAAGTTCCTGTCTTTCCGGTGTGAGTTAACTTTAGTTCTTCCTTTAAGACAGAATGAAAAACAACACGAGGCCTTATTCTTTTTTTTTTTTTTTTTTTTTTTTTTGAGACGGAGTTTTGCTCTTGTTGCCCAGGCTGGAGTGCAATGGCGCCATCTTGGCTCGCCGCAACCTCCACCTCCTGGGTTCAAGTGATTCTCTTGCCTCAGCCTCCTGAGTAGCTGGGATTACAGGCATGCATCACCATGCTCAACTAATTTTGTATTTTTAGTAGAGATAGGGTTTCTCCATGTTGGTGAGGCCGGTCACAAACTCCTGACCTCAGGTGATCCGTTCACCTCAGCCTCCCAAAGTGCTGGGATTACGGGTGTGAGCCACCACGCCTGGCCAAGCCCTTATTCTTAGAGCTGAGAGAAAGAGAACTGCATGCACTGGTAGGGAGCTGGCTTCCCCAGCAAACAGAGTCAACCAGGGCTTTCCCTGGGGGCCTTGAGAAGATCAGCAAGCGAAGGAGGGTATGGTCTGTGGGCCATATGCAGAGCGGTAAGTGGCCCTGCGTTTGGGGAAGGGGTGATTGGAACAGAGGTGAGCAGGAGTGGGCCTACCTTTGCATGGGCACTGTGGCCCTGAGGGTGGGGATATGAACAGCTCTTGAGGTCATGGGTCTTTTTTGAGAACTTGTACAGAACAAAATTCCTTTTGTGAAACCAGTCACCTTTTCCTATTGTATCTATTTAGTCACCTGGGAGAGCAATTAATACAGCACCTCAGCATGAATTCACAGAAACCTATTAATATAGATGGAACTGAGGCTTTTTTTTTTTTTTTTTTTTGGGAGACCTGGTCTTACTCTGTCACCACCCAGGCTGGGGTGCAGTGGTGCAATCTCAGCTTACTGCAGCCTTGACCTCCCAAGTTCAAGCAGTCCTCCCACCTTGGTCTCCCTGGTAACTGGGAAAACAGGCATGTGACACCACACCCAACTAGTTTTTAAAAAACTTTTTGTTTGTACGCCTGTAATCCCAGCACTTTGGGAGGCCGAGGCGGGCGGATCACAAGGTCAGGAGATCGAGACCACGGTGAAACCCCATCTCTATTAAAAATATAAAAAATTAGCTGGGCGCGGTGGTGGACGCCTGTAGTCCCAGCTACTCAGGAGGCTGAGGCAGGAGAATGGCGTGAACCCGGGAGGCGAAGCTTGCAGTGAGCCGAGATTGTGCCACTGCACTCCAGCCTGGGGCACAGAGCGAGACTCTGTCTCAAAAAAAAAAAAAAAAAAACCTTTTTGTTTGTTTGTTTTAAGAGATGGGGTCTTGCCATGTTGCCCAGGCTGGTCTTGAACTCCTGGGCTCAAGCAATCCTCCTGCCTCAGCCTCCCAAATTACTGTGAGCCACTGTTCTCAGCCTGAGGCTGGTATTAATGTGGGAAACGATACACTTAGAAGTCAGACTTAGTAGTCAAGGTGAGAGAAGGGGTGAGCTGTGAAGTGCAGTGGGGAGGAGAGAGGGCAGCTCCAGCAGTGGTTTTGTTGAGTGTCTTTAAGACAGACTTTTCTCACCTGTCCCATGTGGCACCATGGGATGAGTGGACTGTCTTGGAAAGTGGTTAGGCAGGGGCTGGAATGTCTGTTGGGAATGCTGGATGGGGCATCGGCCTCTGGGCTTGTTCTACTCTGACTGTAGGCGAATGCCCCTATATAGAGCTTGGCCCATGGAACTGGGCCAGGCTGAGTTTTTCTTGGCCCACATTTGCTGAAAATGCTTTTGGATTGAATCACACCCAGAAGCGCACCTGGGGGTAACTAGAAGGACCCAGGCAAGCACTGTCGTGGTCTTGGGTCCTGGGGAGTCACTCATGCCTGCTCTGTGCCTACTGTGGGCCAAGCCCTCCTCGTTGTTGGGCTGCAACTCTGAACAAAACAGATAACATCTCTGGCCTTAGAAGGGCTTAGCTGGGGAGACACAATAGAGAGACAGGCCCTGTGGTCTGGGATCAGTGCCACAAAGAAAATCAACAGAGGAGGTCACACGTGGGAGATGGGGAGCAGTTCCACGAAGGGTGGTAAAAGGAGGCCTTGAACGCAGTGAGGGAGGAGTCAGGAATGGATATGGAGGAAGAGCATTCCAGGCTGAGGGAAGAGTGTCCTGGCTCTGAGGCAGGGGTGATTTTGATGACTTCAAGAAACAGAAGGAATGTCAGGGTGGCCCGGGGAGTGGGTTGCAGGTGGGAAGGAGATGCCTTGGGAGGTGTGCGCAAAGCCTGCCTGCAGAGGCCCTTGGGGACCATGGGAGAGAGCGTGCATTTTCTTCTAGGTCTGCGTGGGAAGTCACTGCAGAGTTTCGAGGAGGGGAGTTCCCAGCTCTGTATTTTTGAAGGACCAGTCTCGTTGCTTGGACCAGTGAGGAGCCCCCTGTGGGATCCAGACCCGAATGGGTTGAGCCGGGGCAGGTGGGAGCAGAGACTGGAGAAAAGCTGGTTGAATGCACCGTGTATTTGGAGGCAGAACCAACAGAGGGTCCTCTGGGTTGAGTGTGGGGCAAAAGAGGAAGAAGGCACCAAGCCTAGGGTCTGGGTTTTCTCTCTACACTTGCTGGGTGGACGGTGGTGCCACTGAATGAGACGGAGAAGAGTTGCATGAGTTGGGTTGGGGTCGGGGGACCAAGGCTGCGTAGTGGGGCAGAATAAGAGTGAAATATCATTAGCTGTCTTAGGAGGACAAGTAAAGTAGACATTAGGGTATTTGACCGGGGGCATGGCCAGGACTGGACATCTGGGTATGTCGGTCAGCAGTGTTTAGATGGTATTTAAGCCTTGTGAATTATGAGATCATCGAGAGGGCTTCAGGGCAGGGTGAAGGAGCTAGGACTGTGAGTGACGCCCACCAGTGTCTAGAGGGGTCTGAAGGAGGAGGAGGAGTAGCAGGGAGGAAGGCAGTTGGCATATGCTCGGGGTCCCTGAAGCAGAGTGTGTCAGTGGAGTGCTTGGAGGAGGAGAGAATGACCAGCTGTGACCACTGAGGTCAGATACCACAAGGAAAAGTCTTGGCCTCCAGCTTTGGCAAGAGGGAGGCAGGTCACTGGGGGCCTTGAATAAGATGGGTGGGGATGGAGCTTACAGGATTCGGCAGGTGGTGACCAGTCGCCTGCAGGCTCGCTCGGCATGCCAGTGTAAGACACCTGGGGAGGGAAACGAGGCGGTCATGCATTCCATCAGGAAAACCCTTCCCAGCTAGTCAGTTCAGGGGGAGGACCGAGAAGCAGGAAATGGGTGTGGTGTGGTAGAAAGGGCTAGAGATGAGCCCAGGGAGCTCTGCCCCCTTGGCTTGGTGCTGTATCTAGTACTTGAGATAGTATCTGGCACTCGGGATGTACTCCGTGAATATTTGTTGAATGAATGAGTGAGGAGTGAATGAATGAACTGAGACTTGTGATTCAGCCCTTCTCCCCACTGCCTGGCACTTTGGTTTTGGCCCTCCCTGGGCCTCAGTGCCTCTGCTTTTGTAAAATGGAGGCATTAGTTCTTGGCGGGGGTTCTTCGCTTAGTGTTCACAGACCATTGTGGGAGCCAGCAGTGGGAATCTGTGAACTCTCTAAAATTTCATACAAAATACTGGGCATTTGTGCATTTTCTGAAAGTGATCTGTGATCCAGAAGAGGTTGGATCACAGATTACTTTCAGGGTTGGGTAAGACTTCCTGGGGTTTTCCTTGAGCCCTTTCTTTCCATTCTAGCCCCTGGGGCTAGTTACTGAGTAAAATAGGCAGAAGTGGCTCAAGGCTTGAGATCACTGGTAGTCATAGAGAAGCGTGGTCCTGTTATTTATCGTGAGATGGTGATAAATGGCAGTGAAATGCCAGTGTGGTGTAAAGTAGTCACAGAAAAATAGGAGGCAGCTTTATTAGCAGAGCCCACGTTGTGTTTTGTTCTATGTGGAAAAGCCCTCCCTGGTTCAGGAACCTGTGTCATGTATTTGGAAGGGCCCCTTTTTGTTGTGGTGCACATGGGGTATAGGGTCCTGCAGGTGGGAAGTTGGGCTTGGGGGTGCTTCTCCTCTGGGGTGAGCTTACTGCTTAGAGCAGGCCTATTTTCCCTAGCTAAAAACCCAGCCTTTCCTGAGCACAGGTGCACCCCCTGCTCAGTGTAGATACAGTGGGGAGGAGGATCAGCCCTGGCCTGGGCCTCTGGATAGCTGCTTATCTGTGCCTGGAGTCTTATCTCCAGAGCTAGAGAGCTGGGGTGTGTGGCAGAGATCCTGGGCTCTGTTTCCCCGCATCCTTACCGTGTAGTGGTGCCCAGTCCTATGCAGCCTCATCGTGCGTTGGGAACCTCTGAAGGGACCTGGGCCAGCCCTCCCAAGGGGTGATGTCTTCGTATACACCAGATAGTGCACTGAAATGAGTTCAGGGTTGCAAAAAGGGGAAGAAACGGCACAGCCTGATATCTGTGACCCATAGTCTCTCCAGGGTGGAGCCTGCTGTGAGATCTTTTTCTCTTCCCTCCCTGGGGCATAGGGTCATCTGAGGTTGAAGGAGTTTGTCCAGACATTCAGGAAGGTAGGTTCAGGTTATCTGTCATCTGCAGGGCCTGAGGGGCTATGTGGGATGTGAGCTAGGTGCAAGCCCTGCCTGGCAGTGTGGACTTTGCTCTATGAAGCATGTTCACAGTGTTGGTTTCCATCCTAACTTCCTTCTCTCTCTCTCTTTCCTCTGCCCCACTTAGTTGGCTGGAGTTGTCTTCCTTGGAGTCGGGCTGTGGGCATGGAGCGAAAAGGTAGGTGTAACTATCACAGGACACTGAGCTTCAGGCAGCCAAAACCAGATTCGTTGGACTTCATTTTCCCTCCTCCAATCTGTTCCCTGACAACAAACATTTCTTGTGTAGTGTCAAGGTGTGTAGTTGTTAATCTTTACAGACACAACTCTTGCCTACTCTGCCCACATGATAGTGTTGGCTGCTGGAGGCATGTGCTAGGCTGGGCTGGTTGGGTTTTGAGCCCTGTGGATGTGGAGAGCTCAGCTCTTGTCTGCAGAGCAGGCTTGGGGCAACCCAGCTTCCTGACCCTGTCTGTGCCTCTGGGAGCAAGCGAGCAGGTCCTTGAACACAGGCATGCTTATTGTTGAAGCCCTTATCCTCCAGGATGAGAAAGAGCAGGGAGCGGGGCTGGGTGACGTGCCCCCAGGGTGCCCTGTGGGGCAGAGGTAAGCACCTCTGGGCCTCCTTGCCCAGCCTCAGGAGGAGAGGGGAGGAGTGGAGACCTGGCTTCTACCGTCTGGAAGGACATGGGGCAGTTGCAGCTCCAGGAAGGGGATGAGACTGGATATGGGCAGGGTGGGGCTGTGCTGCTGCTTATTGCCCCGTGGCAGGGGTGCTGTGGAGGCGGTGAGGGCTGAAAAGGGCCAGGGAGGGAAGGGGGGAAGGGAGGGAAGCAGTAAGGTGGAGCAGGCCTGGCTGGAAAGAGCCAGGACTAAAGCTTCCTCTAGCATCTTGGGCCCAGGCCTTCTTCCTTCAGTGGAACGTCCCTTTGCTTCCAGCAGGAGGAGGCAGAAGAACCTAGGTCTGCAGGCTTTCCTGCCATGGTCTTACGAACAGGATAAGGCCCACCTTCCGGTTTGGGCACCTTCAAAGTGGCCTGTGAACCCCGAAAGGGCAAGAGCTGGGGTGCGATGTCCTTGTGCCCCTGTGACCCAGAAGCAGGTTCAATCTGTGCCTCACAGCACCACCGTGTGGCTGCCCCTGGGACTGCAGCCGCCTAACCGGGTGTGGCCCTGAGTGTGGAGCAAATCTGTCGATTTAAAATAATTAAAAAGGCCAGAACCTAGTTTAGAGAGAGTTTATTCAAGCACACATGTTAAGGACAGGGCTGCCCAGGAAGCACAAATTCCAAAGAATGGAAGTCAGCCTTCCTGTTCGAAGTGTAGGAGCTCGGGCTCATTTATGTAGACAAAGCCAGACAGAGGCTCTGTTGCCCAGACGGGAGCACAGTGACTGAATCCTGGCTGACTGCAACCTCTGCCTCCCAGGTTCAAGAGATTCTTGTGCCCCACCCTCCTGAAGAGCTGAGGTTACAGGCATGTGCCACCATGCCTGGCTCATTTTTGTATCTTTTAGTAGAGATCGGGTTTTGCCATGTTGGCCAGGCAGGTGTTGAACTCCTGGCCTCAAGTGATCTGCCCTCGGCCTCCTGGAGTGCTGAGATTACAGACATGAGCCGCCATGCCCAGACACCTATGTATGTCTTGATGCTTAGTCACAATGTTCTGATTAGTTGAGGCGGTCTTTTTCTTTCAGGAAAGGTATGTTTAACATTCCACACTGAAGATGTAATTGTCCCTGGGTCTTAGGTGATATCTAATCTGAGTTTAGTAAAGAACAATGAAAGAGGCAGTTAAACTGTAACAGAGATCGGTGACTGGAAGGGGGGCTGTGGTCTCTCCAGTCCCTTAGTTCAACCATCATCTAAGAAACAGAATTGCAAACATGCTACATGACTCAATCTCCAGAGCTCAGCTTTCCCCTTGGCATTTTACAAACCCTACGGAACTGCTCTGCCCATTATGTGACTGTCTGTGTTTATATTTAAATTGAAATTGAATATAAATTAAAATTCAGTCCTTCTGTCTCATTAGCCACATTTCAAGTGCTCCACGACACCTGTGGCCAGAGAGTGGGGGTATAGTCTAAAACACCTCCATTGGCGTAGAAACTTCTATGGACAGCACTGCTTTGGCCTGCCCTTGGGCGTGTTTTCCACAAGAGTGTTCATATTGAGGCTGTTTTCATCTCAGAAGAGTAGTGTTCCTTATTAATTAGGTGCCAAATTGGGGGACTAACAAGGTTAGCCACCAGGGTGACCAGTTTGACCACAGGCCACAGAGCCCTGTTTCCCTCCAGGCCTGGAATAGGCACCCCACAGGCTGCAAAAGAAGCCTGGTGGCTGCCTAGGAGGAACTCACGGCGTAGGTGGAGGCCAGGAACACTTTCTGGGACCTGAGGTGGGCAAGGATCTGCTGGTCAGAGGGGCCCCTAAGGGCATGGATGGGGCCGGACTCTGGCCTGGCTGTTAACAAGAGGACTGAGCCTGGGGAGACAAGTCCCTGTTTTCAGTACCACCTGCACCCCCCAGGGTGGCATCCTTGACTCCCCTTCTGGGCCGATACTGCCCTGCTTTCTCTGTCTCTTTCAGGGTGTGCTGTCCGACCTCACCAAAGTGACCCGGATGCATGGAATCGACCCCGTGGTGCTGGTCCTGATGGTGGGCGTGGTGATGTTCACCCTGGGGTTCGCCGGCTGTGTGGGGGCTCTGCGGGAGAATATCTGCCTGCTCAACTTTGTGAGTGGTCACAGAGACAAGAGTGGGATAGGATGGAATGGGGTGCAGGCTCTGTTGGGCAGGATTATATGTTACTTGGTCAGAGCAGGTGGCAGCTCTTATGAGCCTCCCCCAGGCCCCTGCCTGGGGGCAGGAGGCAGCCCTTTGCACCCTACTGTCTAGAGAAGCTGGTTCCTCTCGACAGGAGAATTAGGTACCCTCTGGTTTTTAGCCCTTGGTGGGAGGAGCCAGCTGCCTGTAGGCCAGCTCTACTCCTTGCTCCTTTGCCTTTTATCTTCTTTCAGAAGTTCTAAAAGAATTGTTTGCCTGCTACTGTCCTTTGCCCTTCCTGGCTAAGATCAAAAGATGTTGCAAGTAACCTTAAATCATTTCCCTTCTCCAAGGATGTGTGAGTCTATTGGATGTACAAGGCAGAATCCCAAATTTCCTGGCAGAACTGCAGATTACTAAGAGTTTAGTTTTATATTTAGATGCAAATTCATTTTTAGATATATTCAGTTAAATAATACCTGGTGGGGAAAACACATTATCATATTTTGCACTGTATTGTTTGTTGACTTGATTAGATCAAGCTCTCTCTTTCCTGGACATAATTTTAAAAGCAAAGCTATGGGCTTTTTTTTTTTCCTAATTTTTTCTCTGGAAAAAAAAAAAAAACAACAGCTATGTTTAGCATCTTGCTTTTATGTGAACAGAGATTACGTTTTGGCAGGCCTCATGTGCATGTGTGTTTCCTTTTTCTTACTTTGAAAGATTACTCCACATTTGCTGGTTGTGGCAAGCTGCTTAGTGTCTTGTATGGCCAGTGATAATGTCTGTGAGAGCACAGACTGTAAGCTGGGAGTCTGCCCTGATGGGATATGGACCTGTGGTTGCACTGGCCCCTTGCAGAATGCCACCACTCCTTGTGGCCCGGGGCAGCCGAGAGCTTCTGGAGGGGTCTTTATGCAGCTGACGATCATATACTTTCATGCAGAGTTGGTACAGATAACATTGGCACTTCCAGAATTGTAAAGAGCCCTGCAGGGAACTCACATGTCCTGCATGAACTATGTGACCTTAGGCAAGCTATGTACCTAGTGACATAGCCATAGTTTTCTCATCCCTAAAGTGAGGTGACAGATATGTAGGCACTCAATGGGTTTGTGTGTGTAGGGGGAGTCGTCAGATAGTGTCTTGGGCACAGTGTCTGTCCTAAAGGAGCCGATACCCCAGGATGCTGCCCTGGAGGGTCCCAGTGGAACTGCTGGGGTAGGGCAGCCATTCGTTCATGTGATAGGATTTCCTCCTTGTCCAGGGAGGAGGGCTGCTTCATAGCAAATGACTGACACATTGGCTTGGAGTTTTCTCACACTTTTTCACTCATGTGACCATTATCAGCAATGCAGTGACATGGGTAGGGATAAATAACCTCTTTTTACAGATGAAGCGAAGTTGCCCAGAGTCACCCAGCTAACCAAGTGTGGGATTCTCGGGACCCCGGTGTGGGACTCTCAGGTGCAGAGCCCACGTTCTGCCGAGGATGGTGGTTCCGGGTCAGGTGGGGTTATGTGTGTGGGGGTGCAGGCTGGTGGGGTGGTCACTCCTGCTCTCGTCCCCTTCCCCTGCAGTTCTGTGGCACCATCGTGCTCATCTTCTTCCTGGAGCTGGCTGTGGCGGTGCTGGCCTTCCTGTTCCAGGACTGGGTGAGGGACCGATTCCGGGAGTTCTTCGAGAGCAACATCAAGTCCTACCGGGACGATATCGACCTGCAGAACCTCATCGACTCCCTTCAGAAAGCTGTAAGCACCTCCCCATTGGGCCCCTGATAGAGCATGCGCCCCCTTGTGGCCTGCTGTGCTGCCCGGAGCTGAGGCTAGCGGGGCACAAGGCCTTCTCTCCTCTGTGGGTTTTCTGCCTGCAGCTTGGCAGATGGCAGGGAGGCCGTGGAACAGGCCACCCCGCCTCTGGTCTATTCCACTTTGCCGACTTGTGGTTGCCCGGTGGGCCAGCCCTTTCCCGTTGGGATTGGACAGGCAAATCCAGCTGCACCTGAGAACACCCACCCCCATGTGCCTGGCCCTCCTCTTTCGGCCCCAGATCTTTCCAATCCTGCCCAATAGCCACACCAGCTGCAATCCTCCTTAGGCGCTGCATATCGTAAGGCATAGCTTCTTCCCCACAGCTCGTGACTCACCGTCTGAGGCTATTCCTATCCCCTTCCTCCCCGGGACCTTTTCCCCTTCCTTTTTAAGAAGCCAGGGCTGCCTGGAGGAAGCTTTGTCAGATCTAGCAGAATGTGACCTCCCTGGAATATGTGCCCAGGGGTTTGTCTAAGCAGTCCCAGGCTGTGGCCTTTACTCCATCTGGTCCCCATCCCTCTTATCCCTCTCATGCGTGACTGCACCTGGAGGCTTGGAACACAGCTGTCCCAGCCACCTGGGGAGGAACTCACTCCTTGGCCATGTCAGCCTGTGCAATGCAAGGCTCTTGTTTGATCTGTGTGCTGACGGAAAGCCCAGCTTCCTTAAGAACTTTTCATATGGAACACTTTGCTTTTGAGAAGAAAATAAATCAGAAACCATTAAAAATCTATGATTCACTCTCATTATTAACCAAAACTTGGTCACCTTTATTTCATGTATTATGGGATCCAGCAAAACTCATTTATGGTACCAAAGACCCTATCTGTATTATTACTAATGTGTATTAGTCTGTGAAAGTCACCAAATCCCAGCCATGTTTTGATACCTCTCCTTTCTTTTCTGTTTAGTGCCACCATCCTTTTTACATTTTCACATACCCTTGGCTTGCTGGTGTCAGCATGCTAGGTTGTGGTTCATCCCTGCATTGCCTTAAAAACATAGTTTTCTCCATTGACTTCTTTTTCTTTTAAAAGTAAAACTTCTGGCCGGGCGTGGTGGCTCATGCCTGTAATCCCAGCACTTTGGGAGGCTGAGGCGGGTGGATCACGTGGTCAGGAGATCAAGACCATCCTGGTGAAACCCCGTCTCTACTAAAAATACAAAAAATTAGCTGGGCGTGGTCGTGGGCGCCTGTAGTCCCAGCTACTCGGGAGGCTGAGGCAGGAGAATGGTGTGAACCCGGGAGGCGGAGCTGGTAGTGAGCTGAGATCACGCCACTGCACTCTAGCCTGGGCGACAGTGAGACTCTGTCTCAAAAAAATAAATAATAATAATTTAAAAAAACTTCCCAGGAGAGGGATTCAGTAAATTACAGAGCTTCCTTGGGGTGAAATTTCGGGTAATCACTAAAGCAAGTGGAACAGTGGAGGTGTGGGGGAGACGATTTTACCTGAGAAGTAAGCAAAACAAAACAACCAGAAATCGCTGTTGTTATTTGTTGTGATTATTGCCATAACCACGTCAGCTGTAAGGGCAAATGCGAAAAAGTTTTTTAGGGGAAGAGACACTGTCAACTTCACAATGATGCTTTCAGTGTTTGGTTTTTACAAAGTTTGTAGTCAAATAAGGATTTTCTTTGTAGCCACACCAGATGATAGGAAGGGGAGGGCAGAGGCCCCAGGTGTGGGGCGGAGCTTTGATTGTGTTACCTTTCACCCTCATTGGACCTCTTTTCTGAGGAGCAGACACTTAGCAGCTGTTTTTTGTAAAGGGGTGAAAAGGGGAATTCGCTTGCAAGTTTCTCAGGGAGGAGAACAAACACTGCACACTAGGAAGTGTTCTCTTGTGGCAAGTAAAGGACCACACCAAGGTGCTGACAGGGCCTCAAAGGAGAGAGGCCACTCTCCTATCCTCTGAGGAGACTGGAAGGAGGAGTCTCCTTTGAAGAGGCTGGGAAGAAGGGCAAGCTCCCTGCTAAGGAGGGCCTGGGCTGGGTATGCTGTGCCCGGCAGTGGGGCCAGAGGGCTCCACTGAGCCAGCTATGTGGGTTGGACAGAGGAGGCACTGTGGCTGGGAGATACCTTCACCGCCATTTCCTTTTTATTTGTTTTTATTATTTTCTTTTTTTTTTTTTTTTTTTTTTTGAGACGGAGTCTCGCCCAGGCTGGAGTGCAGTGGCCGGATCTCAGCTCACTGCAAGCTCCGCCTCCCGGGTTCACGCCATTCTCCTGCCTCAGCCTCCCCAGTAGCTGGGACTACAGGCGCCCGCCACCTCGCCCGGCTAGTTTTTTGTATTTCTTAGTAGAGACGGGGTTTCACCGTGTCAGCCAGGATGGTCTCGATCTCCTGACCTCGTGATCTGCCCATCTCGGCCTCCCAAAGTGCTGGGATTACAGGCTTGAGCCACCGCGCCCGGCCATTATTTTCTTTAACACATCAAAAGAGCATGTTCTCTCTCTCTTTCCTTTTTTCTCCTCCCTCCCTCCTTTCTTTTTTCTTTTTCTCTTTTCTTTCTTTCATTTCTTTCTCTTTCTCTCCCCTTTTTTCTCTCTCTCATTTCCTCTCTTTCTCTCTCTCTTTCCTTTCTTTCTTTCTCTTTTCTTTCTTTCTTTCTGATGGGCGGGGGGGCGGGGGTGCAGTCTTGCTGTGTTGCCCAGATTTATTTCCAGCTCCTGGGCTCAAACCATCCTCCCATCTCAACCTTCCAAGTCGCTGAAGTTACAGGCCTGGGCTACAGCCCAGCTGTTTTCTTCTTAAAGGGCTGCCTATGTTGCCAGCTTAGCATCTCTGCACATGGGGGGTAGCGGGGCGGGCCCTGGTTTCTCTGCATGGTAGATGCCGGCAGACTTAGCTTGGCATCACCACGAACGTTGCCCTGTGCTGGGCAGCCATGGCCCTGTCTTGGAGCCCCTAACAGTTCTGGCTTTTGTGGTTGCAGAACCAGTGCTGTGGCGCATATGGCCCTGAAGACTGGGATCTCAACGTCTACTTCAATTGCAGCGGTGCCAGCTACAGCCGAGAGAAGTGCGGGGTTCCCTTCTCCTGCTGCGTGCCAGATCCTGCGGTGAGTTGGCTTGTGCTGGGACACAGGGAGCCCGCCCTTCCTGAAGCCCAGCAGCTTTCCTGACTCCTCCAGTGCTCTGGGGTACTTTTCTCTCATGGAGGTCTGAGGAGCGGCTGTGTTCTCTCCACGCCCTCCTCAAGGCTGTCCAGCTCTGAAATCCGATGTGTGTACATTCTAGGAACACTGCTTGCATGACCCACCCTGGCCTTGGTGTTCTGGGTGAGGCAGGAGAAAACAGTATTATTTCCCCGGGCTCAAGCAATTCTCTGGCCTCAACCTCCCAAGTAGATGGGACCACAGGCTTGAGCACCACTCCTGGCTAATTTTTGTATTTTTTGTAGAGATGGGGTTTCACCATGTTGCCCAGGCTGGTCTTGAACTCCTGGGCTCAAGGCGATCTGCCCATCTTAGCCTCCCAAAGTGCTGGGATTACAGGTGTGGGCCACTGCACCTGTCCTGTCCTTTCTATACCTATTTGCATTCCCAATCCAAGGCCAACGTCCTTGGGTTCCAGAAGCTATGTTCTTGGGGTGACCCGTGAAGGAGCTGTGAATTTTGCCTGAGCTGAGCCTGAGTAGAACTGGGCATGTTGCCAGCTCTCAGTGCAGTTATGTAAAGCCTGGTCCTGGGTTATGGGCTTTGAGAAGGCAGAGCATCACCACTATTATATGGGCAAGTTCTGCAGCCCAGGAGAGGCTCCGATTTGCTGAAACTGCACAGCTCTTCTGAGGTCTCCACTGCGACTGTGAAATGTACCAGTCTCGTAAGTGTTGCTTTTAGCACGTATAGTTCTTACCTCCAAGTATAGGTCTTACCTCCTAGCAAACTGTGGCCCCCAGGCCAAATCTGGCCTGTTATTTTTCCATGACCTGTGAGCTAAGAATGCTTTCAGATGTTTTTAAATGGTTGGAAATAAACCAAAAGAAGAATAATATTTTGGGGCACATGAAAATTATATGAAATTCAAATTTCAGTGTCCATGAAGTTTTCTTGAAATACAGCTATTCCTGTTTGTGTACAGATTGTCAGTGCCGGCTCTCATGCAACAAAAGCAGAATTGAGTATGTGTCTGAAATGTTCACTGTCTAGCCCTTCAGAGAAAGTTTGCCACTCTGTCCTGGCCTGAAGGATTAGTTGGTGTCGTGATTGAAGGATATGAGCTGTAATGGGATTTGCACAAATGTTTGCTAGTGTTTGGTCATGTCTTTTCTAGAGTCTCTTACCATTAGGTTCTTGAGACACCAAAAGCAGCTAATTTTTCTACTTTTCTTGCAGCAAAAAGTTGTGAACACACAGTGTGGATATGATGTCAGGATTCAGGTGAGAGCTCCAGTGTATACAAATTGAAGAGTTCTTTAGGTTTCATTCCCTATGGTTCAACATCCTGATTTAGCACAAGTGCAAACTGAAGTGGGGAAACTCGGGGCAGTGAAGCTCCTGATGCCACCTAAGCTGAGCATGGGCACAGGGTCACACACACCGCTTCCTGAGCTGGCGGCAGGACCCCTGGGAGCAGTAATGGTGATTCCAAGCCTTGTGAGCTGCAGTCCCAACAACTAGGAGTTGCTGCATTTAAAGAGGTGGGATGGAAGTTTTGAGGGACAAAGACTGCATTTTTAGGAGGCTCCTTGGCATCCCAGAAGATGTCTCTCGTTAAGAGGACAGCTGCAGGAGTGTATGTGCCTTGGTCTGGCCTCTGTGTGGAGGCAGTGGTGACAAAGAGGGAGGCAGGCATGGGGCAGGGGTGAGGCTCTGTCCTCCAGGACTTCCTTTAGGCTGTAGGGAGTGTGCTCTTGGATGCAAAGAGAAGCAAGACCCTACCCCACTCCAGTCCTTGTTCTAGTGGTTTTTGGTGATATGAATGACTGCTGTTCTAAAAGGGAGGAGTCTCGAGGAATCTGCAGAGACCCCTCCTGTTAGTTGTGCATACGAGGGATGTGTCCCTACAGCTTGGGCAACTGTCTTTCTTTAGGGATCTGCATTTTACAGGGAGAAACTTCTGTAAACTGAATGTTTATGTTTCCCCAAAATTCACATGTTAGAACTTAAGCCCCAATGTGATGGTATTAAGAGGTGGGGTCTTAGGGAGGGGATTGGGTCATGAGGGCAGAGTCCTTATGAGTGGGATGAGTGCCCTTATGAAAGAGGCCCAGAGAGCTTATTTGTCACTCCACTGTGTGAAGACACAGTGAGAGGGTGCCATCCATGAACCAGAAAGTGGGCCCTCATCCAACACCAAATTTGCCAGTGCCCTGATCTTGAACTTTCCAGCCCCCAGGACTGTGAGAAATAAATTTATGTTGTTTATAAGCCACATAATCTATAGTATTTTATTATAGTTGCCTGAATGGACTAAGATAAGAACCTGTATCAACATCAGCTTCCCTAATTATGAGTTGTTTTGCCACTTACATTAATTTGCAAAGGCTGCTGTCACAACATAACACAAACAGAAATTTAAGCCACAGCAGACATTTATTTTCTCACAGTTTGGAGGCTAGACGTCCAAAATCAAGGTGCTGGCAAGGTGGGTGCCTTTAGAGAGCTGTGATGGAAGGGTCTGTTCCAGGGCTCTCTCTTGGCTGCAGGTGGCTGTCCTCTCCCTGTGTCCTCATGTGGGCTCCCCTCTTGCATGTCTGTGTCCTGATCTCCTCTTCTTGGCATGATGCTCTTCATATTGGATTAGGGGGCACCCTGATGGCCTCATTGTAGCATAATTACCTCTGTAAAGAGCCCGTCTCCAAATACAATCACGTTCTGAGGTCCTGGGGGTTAGGACTTCAGTGTATGGATTTTGAAGACACAGTTTAGTCCCTAACACCTCTAAAGTTAGGGACTAATGCTCCATCGTGTTGCCATGGAGGAGGCTGATAGGTGTGAGGGGTCTGGGGCCGATTGCCCCGGGTGGGGTGGGCAGGGCTGGGGCGTGTGCTGGGATGGTTACTGATACCCCACCGGGGTCAGCACTGGAGGGAGCCGGTTGGCTGGTGACTGTTGCCTGGCCGAGCTTACCGGTGGGATGCCCGCTCTGAGAAGCACCCTTCTTCTCAGGAGACTCTGGATCCCCTTTTCCAGGTTTCTCTCCCTTTAAAGGCACATCCTCCTCCAAGCCTTCAAGTCCCTTCTCTTTCTCCAGATGTGGACACTGGGGAAGGGAATCTTGAGAAAGTTGGTCTTTAAATCTCTGGAGACCTGAAGGGGAACAGCCAGGGAGCCTTTGGTCAGACAGGTGGTGCGATGGCACAGTGCCCAGCGAGGGGCAGAGACTGGGAGGAGCCGACGAGCATCTCCTGGAGAGTCCTTGCCTGCCTCCTGGATCCCTCGTTCCCACCCTGCTTTGCACTGCTCCTTGGTGGAGTTCGCTAGGGGATCAGGGTGGGGACATTGTGTGTGCCAAAGGCTCAGGCCCCTGTGGTGTTTTCCTGCAGCTGAAGAGCAAGTGGGACGAGTCCATCTTCACGAAAGGCTGCATCCAGGCGCTGGAAAGCTGGCTCCCGCGGAACATTTACATTGTGGCTGGCGTCTTCATCGCCATCTCGCTGCTGCAGGTGTGTCCCGGGAGCCTGTGGGATTGGCAGGTGGCCTTTTTTCATTTGAGGTTGGGCCCTTAACATAGAGTGCATGGGTCCAGCTTGGGTATGGTATTAAGGAATTTGCAGAATTAAAAAAGGGATTCAACTGGATGTCCAAGGCTGAGAGGGTGTATGTGTGTAAACGTGTTGGGGAGAAGAATGGTGGCTTCCATAAATGCTACCTATAGGGGCGCCCTCTGGGCGGGGGCAGGCTGGGAGGGGCTTGTGGCCCTGCACAGGTTCTATTGGCAGCCCTCTCCAGAGGGCCCGGTGGGCTGCAGAAGGGTCACTGCCTGTCTGGAGGTGGGTCAGGAGTGTGCTCGGGGTGGGCCATCAAGTGCTGCAGATAGGGAGGCTAAACTCTTGGTCACCTGGGGCCTGAGGGTGGCCTGAGGCTCAGGTGTGTGCACTCGCCCCGGGACCTCTCCTCCTGTCTCTGGTCCCTGGGCTGGGATTGTCAGGTATCTTCCCTGTCCATGAGACATCCTCTGAGGCCCGCTGCCATTTGTGGCATCCTTTCCCCTCCCAGGCTGTGCTTGTTCATTTGAACCAGGTTTCACATGTGGGAGGATGTTGGTGGCTCAGCGGGCAGTGAGGCTTGGAGTGACTGGGCTGGTTGGTGACTGCCAGGAGAAGAAGTGGCAGAGAAAGTCAAGAATTCAGTGATCAGAGAAACCAGGAGTCTTTCCAGTGCTGTTCAGGGCTTCCAGGAAGCTGCAGCTTCTGGGTCCACTGATGCAGTTCTTGTGTGGAAAATAACACCATTTATAAAGTGTTTGACTCTGTTCTTTCCTGGAAGAGGGTGACTGAGGTGGACCCAGGGCCACCAGCCACCCACACATGCCTTCCTCCTTCAAGGAAGACTAAGAAATAGGAGGAAGCAACTGGAAAATGAAAGAAAAAGGTTATTTGTAAAATGGGAAAGGGAAGAATCAGACTTCAGAAGGACTGACTAGTCAAATTAGAACCACACAAGAATTTAAAGGGAAAAAAAGCCATTTCCAGAGGTCACCAAGTTCATGCTCGTCTGTTCACGTTAGAAGAACATCAGTCTTCTCTCACGATTTCCCGCTCACCAAGGTTGGGATGAACCTTCAGACATTAGCACAGCCGAAATTGGGGGTGGCCTTGGTCTTTTTGTGGAATCAACGTTTACGGGAAACACTCAAGATTTATTATTTTGGGAATCAGAAACAGTCAGGGTGACCCTGTTATTTTTGGTTTAACCCAGGGACAGGCGTGTCCTGCCCCATGGCTTGTGATGCACTTAATCATGTTGGAGGCAGGGCAGAGTGTCTCTTTTGCTTGTGCTGCCTGTGGTTTGCCTCTTCTAGGCTCTGGGGATGTAACAGACTAGACCCCAGAACCCCTTTTTGCGGGAGGAGTAGCTGTGCTGTGCCACTGGCTCCACGGTGCTATCTCTGCATCCTCAGTTGCAGTTGGGGCGGTGAGGAGAGGCATGCAGTGGGAGCTCCCAACCTCACCTTCCGCTCCCTGCCGTCTGCCTTTGGGCCCCAGCAATGGTCACTGACTCTGCTGGTGTTGGTTTCAGATATTTGGCATTTTCCTGGCAAGGACCCTGATCTCGGACATCGAGGCGGTGAAGGCCGGCCATCACTTCTGAGGAGCAGAGTTGAGGGAGCCAAGCTGAGCCACGCCGGGAAACTAGAGCCTTTCTCTGCCGTCAGCCCTAAGTCCAGAGGGAGAGGAGCCGACACCCCCAGAGCCAGCGCCCCATCTTCAGCCTCAGCGTGACGTGACCTCTCTGTTTCTGCTTGCTGGTGCTGAAGACCAAGGGACCCCCTTGTTACCTGCCCAGACTTGTGACTGTATCCCTCTGGAGTCTATCCAGAGACAGAGAATGTGTCTTTATGTGGGAGTGGTGACTCTGAAAGACAGAGAGGGCTCCTGTGGCTGCCAGGAGGGATTGACTCAGTCCCCCTGCAGCTCAAGCACGTCTGCAGGACACCCTGGTCCCCTCTCCACTGGCATCCAGACATCTGCTTTGGGTCAGCCCCATCTGTGGGTGGGCCATGGGTAGAGGGACCCACAGGCGTGGACAAGGCATCTCTCTCCATCAAGCCAAGCAGCACGGGGGCCTGCCTGTAACTGGGGAGGCGGATGTGGCCTTGCTGGGCCTCTGAGTGCCAGCGCAGTCTGCAGGGGCATGCACACGTCAGGGGTTGTTTGCAGGATCCTCAGCCATGTTCAAGTGAAGTAAGCCTGAGCCAGTGCGTGGACTGGTGCCACGGGAGTGCCTTGTCCACTGCCCCCCTTGTGTCCACCAGCTGTTCTCCCGGTGCCAGAACTGCCTCTGGTCTTGACAGCATTAAGCCCTGATGGCACTGGTGGGGTGGTGGGCATGGTTCTTCACTGAGAGCCGGCTCTCCTTTTCTTAAAGTGTGTAAATAGTTTATTTATAGGGGTAAGAATGTTCTCACACCATTTCACTTCCTCTTCCTCTCCTCCAGCATTCTCCTCTGAGCAGCCTTACATAGTGTCCACGGCTGGAGCCGACCCTTTTGAGTCCCCTCGAGTGTCTTAAGAACCAGCCCACAACAGCCTCTCCTTCCCCTCCACATACTGCAGCCTCCCTCCATGTATCCCACATACAAGCACTCCCCTACTCCCCAGCGTGGCCTCACTGTCTTCTGGTCTTGGTGCTACTGAAATTGTCACCCAGAACTTGAATCCTGACCCTCCCCACTGCAAGCCCAGGGAGCCCCAGCCCAAGATGGCTAGCCTGAAACAGTTGGCCAGGGCTCCTCTTGAGGCCGCGTACCCAGGGCTGGCTGGCCTGCCATTTGCTTCTCTCTGAGACAGCCGTTCTTCTGCAACCACGCCCCATGCCGAGCCACAACCCCAGGCTGCAGCTGCTCAGAAGGTCCGGGCGTTTTGTTTCTGGTGACCGGATATCGGTGGTCACTGGTCCACCCTTCCTGTCAGGGCTTGTCTGGGGCCTGCTCTTGGAAATGAAGTCTTCTTAAGTACTGAATAATTCCCCTGGGGATAGCTGGGGCATTTGTCTAGCTGGGCTACTTTCTAACGCTTTGCCATAGCTCGGACCACTTCTCATCGTTCAGGGATCGAGTGCAACCTTCAGTAACTTGCCGGAGTGTACATTCTAGTGTGGTGTATACTGGTGGCTGTTTGTTGATGATGATACTATCTTTTTTTTTTTCCTGGTTTTTTTGTTTGTTTGTTTTTTACAATTCTCTGTAGACTAGGAGAAGAAGAATGCTTGTGTTTTTTGGAAGTGTGATGCTTCTCTTTGACTGCCAAACTCTTTTATGGAATATATCTTTATATTAATGCTGTTGTTTTGGTCGTTTTTGTTTGGGGTCACTATCAAGATGTTGCTAAGCATCTCAGTGGTAAACGCAGCTGCCAGAGGAGCCAAGGGCTAGGGTATGTAGAACTTACAGAAGGGTGGATGGTAGAGGCAGCCCATCATCAGCACAATCTGACTTACATTTCATTGAGTGCATTTTTTTTTTTTTTAAGATTCTGTATGGCAGCACTTTCAGTCTAGAGGAAACATTGTTTTAGGTTATTTCTGTCCACCCCTGGGCGATAGTATTTATTGATCCAGGCAAAAGAGCTTGGGGCCACTGAGTCGAAGTGGGGACACAGGATTGAAGCCTGGGCACTGCCGCTGCACGAGCTGTGTGTCCTGGGTGTGCCAGCCTCTCTGAAGGGGGTTGGTGGTGGTGCCCGCCTCACTAGATGCCTCTGATCCAGCCTTCCCTGGGGGAGTGGGTGGCCGCAGACCCTCCCTGCCAGAGCTCCTGGAAGGCTCTTGTAGGCCTGACCCATCTATTCCTGTAGACCTAGTTCAGGATGAAGTCTCGGTGTGACTTGCAGAGTTGGGTTTGTCTTTCAACTATAGACCCTTCTGGCCATTCTCAGCCATATCATGTGACTCTGAATAGTTGGATGAGGAATGGAAAGAAAGCAAGGATGAGAGCCGGGCACTGGCAGTCTCCACCCAGCATCGGCTCTCTGCACAGAGGCACAGGGCAGGCCTCCTGTGCACTCCCCACTCAGCACTGGCCTGTCCTGAATCCCCGTCTTCCCTGGTTGGAGGCCAGCTGTGGCTGGCCTCTCCCCACCATGCACATGCTCACTTTAAAGCTTTGGGGTCCTTCCTGTACCCCCTTCCCAACCCTGGCCCACCCCCTCAGGATCTTGTCACGTTACTTTTCCTGTCCCTTCTTCCTGTCGCTGGCCTTCCTTTCCTCATCCTAAAAACTTGCCTAGGCCCTATGGCTCCCTCCTTTCTTTCCCGGGCAGCTTCTTATCTGGGCTGTCTGTACCCCTTCCTTTCCACCACCCACCATGCCCCACGTAGCTGAAAGCTGCTTATCCCAGTGGTCAACCCTGGCCTTCGGCCTCTAGCACCAGACACTGCACCTCCTGAACGTCCTCTGCTTCTCTGTTTCAGAGGCCTGGGCTCGCCAGTTCTCTGGCCTCTCCCATCCGTCTGCTCAGGACTCTGCTGCAGCTGTCCTCACCGGCCTCAGGGAATCCCACTTCCCTCAGGGCAGGGCTGTGGGCTGGGCTGAAAAACCATCTGCATGGTCCACAAGAAGCCTGGCACTGGGTTTCCTCATGAATAACAATGAAAATTAAAGGGTGCAGAACCTTCCTGGAACATGGAATTTCTCTGGGAGATTCCATGCAGAGGCCACTGGGGAGGTGGGGGGCACGCATGTGAGTGTAGGTGGCTGCAGTGTTGGAAGGCTCCCAGCAGAGCAGAGAGCATCTCAGTCTCATCAGGGAACCCACCTCATGGCTTCTCAGCCAGCAGTCTCAGGAACATAGACTGCAGAGAACGGAGGGAGGCAGCAGTGGCCGCGGCACCTGAGGCATCCTGCTGTCATGGGAAGGTCTCTGCCCAAATGTCAGATGCATCAGCCTGTCACCCACTGATCCAGAGCTTTCAGCTGTGCTGGTTGGGGGTGGGGGGTGGAGTGCTGAATGACCTTCATGGGTGGGCCTTTCCAGCTCTAGGGTCATACGGGTGTTTGTCCACAGAACCACAGTTTTTAGGTTGTGTGTCCGGGACTATGGGAACCTGTCCCCCATGATGGATCTTGGTAGAGACACTTCCCTGTGTCTGTCATCGTGTCCAGGAGAATGCTGCAGGTTACTACCTACAGCCCTGTTCTCATTCATCTGGATGCCCTCCAGAAATCTGGGGAACCATACACCTTTAGAGCCTTTTTAGCTCCTTATCAAGTTGGCAAGGCTTGGCCATTCCTGTTCAAGGCTGCATTAAAGGAACGTTCACCATCCTGGCTAACACGGTGAAACCCCGTTTCTACAAAAAATTAGCTGGGCGTAGTGGCGGGCACCTATAGTCCCAGCTACTTGGGAGACTGAGGCAGGAGAATGGTGATAACCTGGGAGGTGGAGCTTGCAGTGAGCCGAGATCGTGCCACTGCACTCCAGCCTGGGTGACACAGCGAGACAACGTCTTAAAAAAAAAAAAGGCACGTCCATTCTCAAATGCTTTTGACGTCTCCAGGGTACCTCAGGACAACATGAAATGGGCATTGTAGAATTTGGGTCTACTGTGTTACTTTGGAAGAAAAAGTTAAGGGTACTTTTAAGTGGATACTGTTTTGATGAGACTGCCAACTTCAGGGAGCCCAGCTTTGGAGAAGGAGGACGTGAGTATTCCTTATAAGGGTCCAAAACAATTCTTTCTTCACTTGGCTTTCTTTCTGTGCTCTGCATCTTATATTCCAGCAGGGGCTTCCAATGCGTGGTTTAATAACTACCAGAAATGGCCGGGTGCAGTGGCTGATGCCTGTAATCCCAGCACTTTGGGAGGCTGAGGCAGGCAGATCACTTGAGGCCAGGAGTTCGAGACCAGCCTGGACAACATGGTGACATCCAGTTTCTGCTAAAAATACAAAAATTAGTCGGGTATGGTGGTGTGCAGCTGTAGTCCCAGCTGCTTGGGAGGCTGAGGCAGGAGAATCGCCTGAACCTGGGAGGCGGAGCTTGCAGTGAGCTGAGATCCGGCCACTGCACTCCAGCCCGGGCGACAGAGTGAGACTCCGTCTCAAAAAAAAAAAAAAACCTACCAGAATAAATTATCACCTTGGACTGTAATTTTGACACCTCAAACAACTTTTAAACTAGTCTTTTTAAAAAGTACACTTAAATAAAAATCTAAACATAGGAGAATGTAAAGTGAAAAGTGAAAGTATGTCTTCTGTTCCCCAGAGGTAACTAGTATTAGGAATCCTTCCTGAAAATATCCATGCATATACTCGGGTCATCACACCCATGGAATCATTTTACATAGTATTTTATAAATGTTACTTAATATACTGATCCACAGTGCGTTTTCACGGTCACGCCATCAGTTGTAGGAGTGTGCCAAGAGCAGATGGGCCTTGCCTTTGTACCAGAGGAGTCCATTTACAGTCGCAGGTAATAGAAAACCCAATTCAAACTGGCCTAAACAATGAGGGGAGGTTTTGGCTCCCGAAACTGGAAAGTCCAAAGGTGGGGTGAGTTTCAGGGTTGGGTTGATCCAAGTGGCTCAGTGACGTCAGCAGGATCTTGTTTCCTTTTCTGTCTGCTCTGCCTTCCACAGCGTCCCCTTCATCTATGGTGGAGGAAAGGAGTCTACCACAGAAAACCCTGAGCCTCCCCCTGATAGGGGCGGTGTGGTGATGAAGCCAGCAAGGGAAGGGACCCCCGCTTCCTCATGCTTCATCATCCCACTGAAACCATGTGGCTGTGAAATGCAGCATCCTCCAGGAGGGGGAGGAAGGCTGGGGATGCTGCCAACTATTGCCATCACGCTTCTGTGGATGGGCATTATAGTTGTTTGCAGGGTTTTGCACTTACAAGGACTTAGAAAAAAAAAGTACAGTGTTTTGTTATTGGAATTACTTCTTATGGTGTATAAGAAAAAAAACATGTTTTTAGAGGCGTTCTCCTGGGAGGTGGGATCGCGTTTTAATGAGTAGGTGCTCAGGGCTGGGGTGTGCCTGTCGCTGCCTGACCATTGCTGGTGTGTGTGGGTGTAGGGTGGCAAAACCTCCTACCCTGTGAGGTTGTTTCAAGGATTAAATGAGTTGAGATGGGTAAAGCATCTAACAAAGATCCATATTATTTAGTATGCATCCCCTGAATTATTGCTAACATAATTTTAATGATTGGGGGATTTTATCTGTGGCTGCCAGTCCCTACGAAAAAGCTGCCTGGGTCGCATGTCAGACAGCTTAGACTGAACCATGCTGAAATGAAACGGTCCACTTCCCTGTCCCTTTAGGAACAAGGCTTCGAGGTCTGCGGCAAGCCTCAGCAGGCATTTAGAGTTCAAGGTCTGTTCGCTTTCTGTGCCATAGAGGTGGGGAGGCAAGGGAGGGGGTTGCTTCTTGCCTGGAGCGCAGATCCTACCAGAAACCAACACAACCGAAGTTGCCCGGGAGCCCCCAGAAGCAGCAGAGTGGCCATCACCAGCCAAGGGGCAAGTAGGCCACAGAGGCCTGGGGCCCAGGAGGGATGGTCCATGGGGAGAAAAGGCATTATTGTGAACATCCACGCTGGGGATAATGCGCTCTGAAGACAGCAGGACATCATGTTTGGATGGTTGGTGGACCCTATCTGGTCCCACTCATAAAGAGAACAGAGGCCCTGGGATGTGCTGGGACTTACCTGAGGCCTCAGAGTGGGACTGGGTGCTCCTCCGCACCTCCTATGAGGGAGGATGTCTGTCTTTGTGAGGACAGCTTGGCAGGGCTGGGAACCTGCGGGCGGTGCTGGGGGACATGTGTGAGACTAGCATGTGTGGGCCTTGCTCGGCTTGCCCTGGTGCCCTGAGAAAAACCTGGTATTTGAAAATACACAGGGACTGCTGGAAGGTCAGGAAATCCAGGGTTTTGTTCTGAGGCAGTGGAAGTGTTACTGCGAGCCTGTGTTGTCCTCTCTTCTCGCTCCCCCTGCGGCCATTTCAGTCACACTGCCTTTGCACGGAACCCAGGGTTGCAGGCCGCGTGTATAGATGCTGATTTAGGCCCAAGTACTCAGCTGTCAGCAGGAAGGACCATAGTGTTTTCTTCTAGTTTTAGATTTGTACTTGTTCTGTCTTTTACAGTCAGAGCTGTGATCCAATATGGGAAGACGTGAGGTGGCCTCTAGGAGGGACTGAGCACCCTGTCCTTGGAGGTATGCAAGCCCAGGCTACACCCTTCCTGTCTGGGATGATATGGCTGGGGGTGGGCTTTGTGCTGCGTGGATCATGGCAAGCCTTTCCATCTCTGAGAGGTAGTGGTCCTTCCTGTGCC